CAGAGGAAAGGATACTGATGAAAATCAAGAGGTAGCTTGAAAAATTGCTTTTGCTGTCAGCCAGGTAAGGTGAGCAGCAAAGCTGTTCAGTGCTCACCAACTAAAGTGGGGGGGGTTTGGGATGAATTGGAACAGTGTGTCATATTATAAACTTTCAAAATTTGAAAATAAGCTGCTGCATGTGCTTGATGTGATTGATTTACCCTGGGCAGTGGTTGCAGTGTGTACAAGCAAAACTTTCAGGTTTTTCAGAATTCAGTGTGAAACTGGTCAGGTCTAAAATACTTTGTGATTATTTTCACTTTTCTATTGGTTTTATTGAATGTGGGTTGTCTTTTCATAAATTGATAGAGCCATTTAACTTCTCTGCCATCCAGCAGTGCATGTGTGTGTGTGTTTGGGAGGCAAAGCCATAGCTGAAAGCATAGCAGATGGCAGAATTACAATAAAAAGATGGGGGTTTTTTGGTCAGTAAAGAGGGTGAGATTCTTGACTAGTTTTCCGTGGAAAGTGAGAACTTCAGCAGTTAATTCTTGTGAATTTTTTCCTCTTCCTTTCTTCCTAATAGCTGACAAGTCTGCCTTAGGTACTGGCTCAAGTAGAATTGCATAATGAAACTCTGGACAAATTCTTTTGTCTTTTCTGAGGCTTATACCTCAGCAGACTGTCTAAGCAGAGATGAAGTGATGTGTACTTAAGGTATGGTTTGAGGTTTTTCACTCTGGGGTTTATGCAAAGATTGTCTGCAGCAGCAGAATGCCCAGCTTGCTCTGTGTTTGCTTTCAGCAAGTGAGAAGATAAAGGTGTGCCCAGTGTCCCTCTAACATTCCAAGCTATCCTGTTCTCAGTGGCAGTGTTCTTCACAGTAAGAAGGGAATATGCAAGGGATGAGATTAGACCTTATGTTTTCAGTGTATAACTTGCCAAGAAGAGAAATATGTGTGTGGAGGAGGCCTAAGACAGTGAATATCTGTGGCATCTGGGTGAAATTATGAACAATAAAATAACCCTCAGCTGGAGCTTCACGAGCAGCTAAGCAGTGTCCATCTAGGGCATGTTGAATGAAAAGGGCATGTCTAAAGTAAAACATGCTCACACAAGGAAAGTCCCCACAGTCTGGCATGAAGCCAGGTGCATACTGAATTAGGTCACTGCCTTAAGTGTGCATGTTTCCCCACTTCAGAAAGATGTACTCATCCTTTGCAACAAGGAACAAAAACAGAATGCTAATATAATTTTAAAAATGTAAAGCATTTTCAATGCTGGTCTATTCCCTCGTGCTTAGAGAATCAATGAACTTTTTTTGTAATGAACAGAAACATTTCCATTGTTGAATACACAGAATGCCCTGGAAATGCAGAAAGTATTAGCAACCAGGTGCCTCTGGAAAACCTGCAGATCTTTATAAGAATTGTATAAGCCCCAGATGTCTCATTCTTTGGAGATCATACAGACTGCTGCAAACAGACTAGTTTTGAAGAACTGATAGGCAGTTAAATACCAGCATTCAATAGCAGGTGCAATTTGAAGTTTTGGTGTGTAATCTTTAAGCTGCGAAATTCCTGGGACTTCTGTGTGATTACTAATTACCAAGTAATTTTACCAAGTAATTTTACCAAGTAAAATTACCAAGTCCTTTTTTATAAACTTCAGAATGTTCTGTGTAACCTAGTTAGTTTCCCTATTGTGATTTTTGGGATCCCATGTGCTTTTGCTTGTTCTGAGGTTTCACAGCCTGCTTTCTGTTGTAATCATGTTCTACCTAGTTACTGGAATTCCTAAAGTAGGGCTGTGCCAGACCAAATTCAGATCAAATTTGGGTTGTAGATACGCAAAATAAGGGCTTTTTTTTCCCCCTGTTCTCTGAAAAGAGAGAATAGTGAAATAGAGTGCTCATAAGCTCTGCTTTTCTATTGGGAAAAGAAGGAAGATTCTTACTGCTTTCACTCACTCTGTGAGTGTAGTATTGAAATATTCAAGATGAAATGTGTTTTAATCCTTTATGATGACTTCCCTCAGCAGAAGTAATACTGAAGGGAAAAAAAAAGATGTCAATTGGCTCTGTTCCCACTGCTTTAGCAAACTAACTTACCCATTCAGTTCTCCATGTGCAATTTAAAATTTTAATGTTCAACATAACTGGTTGCACAAACATTGCTGTCCTTTAAAGGCCACGGTGAAGGTCTAGTGGGAAAAACGCCTGTTCTTTATGGTGAAAAAGGCCCTGCCTGTCTGTGTAAAAAGGCTGTCTTGTTAATAGGATTGTCACTAGCCCATAGATAAAGGGTTTCAGCTAATGAAGGAATAATTAGAGCCTAGAAGGAAAAGTACCAGCGAGCTGGTGTAGTTCTCATTGCTTCAGGAGTGGGTTACTGTATGTATATACACAATGTATACGTAGTGTGTGTGTGTTCCCTGAGCACCCTGAGGGCAGTGCTCCCGGGCAGCCCTGTGCTGTGACCAGGTGAAGTGCTAGTGGGAAGGGCCAGGCACCTGCAGATGTCCAGCAGCACGGTGTGTTGGCTTCCCTGATCCAGGCTTACCATAATAGTGTCTGTTTGGTCACAGTGGGGAAAGGTAGGAACAGCAAGAGCTCTCTCACTGCCCCCTGCTATTCTCTGAGGGCATCTTGATCTCCTGGTACATCGTGTCCTCTCCGAGGGAGATCTGTTCTCCCTTGCTTCTGAGACGTGAATGAGACCTAAAGAATCTTAGTGACTCATCAAAGCTGAGCACAGGGCAATTTATTGGTGAAGCAAGAATTGACTACAAAAGCCTCCTAGAACTAATGCTCCATCTTCAGGGGTATTGATTTGTCAGTTAACAACAATTAGAGTAGTTGGGGCTTGATTTACTGATATTTTATGCAAGTTAGTTTGATCATTTCTCAATATGCCTTTACTGACTGAAGATGTGTCAGCTTCTGCATGGAGTAGCTTTAGTACAGTTTAGCATTTACTGAGGTTTAAAGAAACTTGTGGTTCTTTATGCTATTAATTGTGGCTTCACCTCTTGCAGTCTAACAGAACAAGAATTCAGTAAGAAATGTAAAAAACCATCATACAGTCATCTTTGTACTAAAGAAAGCTTGGGATGATATTGTATCATATCTGTGAACTGGTTTTATCCTGCAGAATTTTCATTCTGTCTCCCTTGATTCATCACATCTGGACACTGGTCAGCACTCTGAGGATACATCTGGAGTTGATCACTCTTTATATGCATTCAACTTGCATTTATATAATATTGTGTTTATGCAGTGAGGAGTGACTAAATTCTGGCTTGTCTGGACTTGAAAGGATGTTATCTAGTATTCAGTTGATAAAACTGTTACTTATTTTGTACCAAAGTCTCCAGTAGCTTTCCATGAGTTCCAAAAGCTTCAGTTTCAGATGAGTAATTGCCTTTAATCTGCTGTATTAAGAATTTCTACATAATCTGCATAAATTATTTATTAACAGGGACTTTAGTACTACAAATATTAAAAACAGCTTTGAGCAGTCCTGTAGACTTCAGCTCTTGCCAAACTTGGTGTGGATGATACTCCTGCAAACTTTGTGTGGCTGTGGCAGGCATTGCTGCTGGTGGTATGAGTAAGTCACTTAGTTTCTCAGGTCTTGCAGTTGGAGCTTTCTTGCAGGTGAAGATGCTGAATGTGATACCACCACTGGTCAGGGGTGTCTGATTTGCATTGGAGCAGTGTCCTGGTGCTGGAAGCTGAGTGGGAAGGGAGGAGTGTGACAAAGACACAATCAGGGAGACACAGTGCCAGGTGTTTGCTGTAAACACAGGGGGAGCATTGTGGCACCCTGGCAGGGCCAGCACAAGGTGGGCTGGGTGGCAGCTAGCAGTGCCAGATCTGTCTGTCTAACCCATGTAGAAGGCTAGGGGAGTGAGCCATTTTTTTCTAGTCTCTTAAGGATAGTGAAACTAAACTGGGAGTCTCAGAACTTCCGGCAGTGCCAGATCTGTCTGTCTGACCCATGTAGAAGGAGTAGGGGAGTGAGCCCTTTTTTTCTAGTCTCTTAAGGATAGTGAAACTAAACTGGGAGTCTCAGAACTTCCCCCAAACCATAATTGCATAACACAGTCAAAATGGATGTAGAGCTAATAGGTCCCTGGATAAATTTTAATGACTTTCACTTATTTTATACAAGCAAATTTTAAATGAAAGTATTTTATTAATGTTGAAAGTAGACTAACATGCATTGAGCTTACTTCTTAGTCTTTTATGCTGTCATTGAAGAGGCCCATAAAACATTTATTTGACTCTCAGTGCTGAGTAGGACTTTTGGTATCCCCCTCTTGCATAACTGTGGGCTGTTTCTCTGGTCTTCCCCTCTAGGCTAGCCTAACCGTATCAGAAGATGGAAATATTAGCAGATGGATGATCTCAGGATCCCTTTCATCAATCAGGAATTGGCGTTTGAATTTTAATTTCTTTTGAATTAGACTTAATCTGAAATGCAGTTTCTATAAACTTTGATATTTAAATCTATAATACTTTATTAATGAGTGAACAGTTATACCCTGAAAGGTATTTACTTAAAGTAAAAGCAAATGAAATTGCAAGCTTCTGCTGCTTCAAAATAGTGGATTTTTTTTTTAATAGTTTAGAGGAGTAGGAAAGGTATGGGATTTGTTGGTATCTTTTTGTCCTCCCACAGAGTAAAACAAAACAAAAAACCCAAGAAGTAATGGGGGAGTTAAAAGAAATGTGAAATAAACCGTGGTGAGACTAGAAGAACCATTACTGCTTTGGCTAGCTGTGTGACAAATGCCTTTTTTTGGACTGTCCATATTACTGTTTTCCAGACACTGTGTCAGAGGGAGTTGCTGATTAGTAATGCAAAAAAAAAAAAAGAAATGTTTTTTCTTTCTCCCTTTATCACTCCTTCCACCAGCAGTCTTTTGCATGCATGTGTTAGAACTTTGTTCATGTGTTTCTCAAATGTCTGTCTGCTTTGTAGTTCTAACATGCACCTTTCTTTTAATTTTAGGTTCTGTCTTCATTTTGCTGACTCAAACCACAGATTCCAAGGAAAGGAGGGGAAGTGGAAGAAAATACTCAAGTGCCAGAGGAAAAGCAAGACTAGCCAATGAAAATTATTATTACTAAACTGTAGAATTCTCTCACACATAGTGGGGGGAAAAATTGCTGTCTGTTCAAAGCTTACAAAATTACTTTTGCAGATTTCCTTTACAAAACTTCAAATAAGCTAGGCCACTTCAACTAGGGCTGAATTAGGAAATGGAAATATGATTCCTTGCTGGTGTCTTCAGTCTTCCTCTGCCTTTGCAGGTTCTTTTTGTTTGGGGTAGGAAATCCTGAACAAATTGTATGGCGTCAGCCAGACTTACGGTTGATGGTTATGGATGACACAGGAACTTCAGATTTACGTCTCTGCAATGACACCTGATTAAGGCAAAGCTTGAAAACTGCTCATCTGCTATGTTACCAGAACTTGTAGTAGCTATTACAGTTGTGATTTCTCTCTAAGATTTGAAGTCTGGGGTGATGTCCCCTGGAAAGCAAGAGCAGATAAGTAATCTTTTAGGATTGGAAGCAGAAATAATATGAGAATGCCCAGAAGAGGCTTAGTAATTCAAGCCAGGACTCGTTGGCTATTGGTGGGCCTTGCTTTGCTGTTCAGTTTAGTCTTGCTCATGTATTTGCTGGAGTGTGCTCCACAAACAGATGGCAATGGATCTCTGCCTGGTGTTGTAGGTGAAAGCATGGGTAAGGAGTACTATCAAGCTCTCTTGCAGGAACAAGAAGAGCATTATCAAAACCGAGCTACCAGTCTGAAACGTCAGATTGCCCAGCTAAAGCAAGAGCTTCAGGAAATGAGTGACAAATTGAAGTCCCTGCAGGAAAAAAAGAGCCCGAAGATCAATGGTATGAACTACCAGGGCACCAAAGAACAAACATCCAATGATCTCCTAGAGTTTCTTCATTCCCAGATTGACAAAGCTGAGGTGAGCGTGGGGGCCAAACTGCCTAGCGAGTATGGAGTCATTCCTTTTGAAAGCTTTACATCCATGAAAGTATTCCAGCTGGAGATGGGGCTCACTCGGCATCCAGAAGAGAAACCTGTTAGAAAGGATAAACGAGATGAACTGGTGGAAGTTATCGAGGCTGGCCTAGAAGTTATCAATAATCCAGATGAAGAAGATGGACAAGATGAAGATGATGGAGTAGGAGACAGGCAGCTGTATAGTGAAAATGATTTTATAGAAGGTATGTTTACATGCTTCCCAGCAGAATGTCACAACAGGCATTTAGTGGGGTTTGTACTTTTAGGTTTTACCTACTTGAATAGAGTCTTGAAGAGTAATTGCACAATAAGCCTTTATTTCTGATGATGAGGATATTACTGCTTCATTATCTTGTGTTTTTCATGGAGTAACAAATGCATTTCAGAAGGTCTCACCACAAGAGGTATACTGGGGAAGCTGTATCTGCTTAAAATACAGATACATTCATCATTGATTGTAGCCAAAGTCAGTGTGACACAGCTGCTTATGGTACTAAATAACTGAAAGACTTTCAGTGAAACTGATGGCAGTGGGAGGGAGAAATTGACTCATCTCTCTTGTTCCAGACTAGTTAAACAATCCGGTATGAAGCTACATATTTTTTCTTCACTCATCTCTGTGCCACTTTTAGTTAATAGTTGGGCATTTGACTTTGCTAGAGTTGGCACGGGCATACTGCAGGGAGAGGTAGGCTATGTTCTGGGCCTGTGAGCTGAAGAACTTGGTGTCCTGAATAGACCTTTCATGGTATTCAGTTATGGGGTCTGCTGAGCTGTGCAGCCTTGAACTGTTCTCTTGTTTTCTTTTCAGTCTTTTCAGTTTTGTCTCAGTTCCTGTAAGTTTGATTGCAGAACACATATTATTATAAAGGCATATGTAGCAGTTAAACTTTCAACACTTAGTAAGGCCCTTAAAAGGTGCAGTAGTGACAAATCCCATAACAGGTGGCTTTCAAGGAATGGTCTTGTGCAATGGAGATAAGTATTATCAGAAACTGCCCTGGTACCTCTTCTTCATATTTACAGTAATAAATACAGTTCATGCTACCATTAAAGACCAAAAGGTGGACCATGGTATCAGACCATTACTATAGAAGGTGTTCTGAAGTAAGTACTGATGTCTGTATTATTAAGCAAACATGCTGGAGAAAGGTACCATTGACCTTGAAATAATGGGGTCTTTCAGTCTCACATGATGTATGTAATTGGTCTGAAGTGTAAAAAGTCTGTTTTTGACAGCTACTGTGTTTAAAGTTTGATGAAAGTACTCTTCTTCATTCCAGAAGGTGGTACAGGCTATGGAATCCACTCAGCTGGGTCAGTGCAACACAGCCTGTGTCAGGCTTGTAGCACAGTTCTCATTTAAAACCCTATTATTTTTTTCTAGGGGTTATCATTCTTGGGCTTTATTTCTACATTAAGTATTCTGCTGCTTTTCCATTGCTGTTTTAGATATTGCCTGTACTCAAGTGGATTTTTATTTTACCATGACTGAAATAGCTGTTGATTTTTTTAGTGTGCTGCCTTTAATGACAGGCATTCAAGAAAGCAGGTAGTTTTAGGACCTTAGAATTATGCTTCATACCACTGTCTCTGTTCACACCAGTATTTGTTTTTGGAAATCACACTAATTTCCTTTTGCTGTAAAGACAGTAACTTCAAACACAGGGTTACAGGGGCTGTAGGGAAAGACAAGTCTTTTATGCTGCATATGGGTGTGTTAGCAACCAGCCATAGTGTTATCTAGATCTGTTGGTATCTTTATTCAGACAGAAGTTGTGGGTTGTGTGGGTATTCTGTGGGTTTTTTATGTGCAAATACTACTGGCTAATTTAGCCAGCAAAAAAAGCATCTTCTGAATGTTAGCGTATCTTTCCCCACCCCTGTTTTTCCACAAGTCAGAGGTAAGAAGCAGACCCAGCCAGTGATGGTACACACAGATCCTTTTCCCTGCAGCCCTGTAAACAGGCTCTGCCTTTGCCTGTGCATCCCCTTTTGATGAAAGTCCAGTTGAAAAGCTGATGCCATTCTGTTTATAAAATACTAGTCCCTTAAGCTGTCCTAAACTGGTAGGATCAAATTGCCTAGCAGATTTGGTGTATCAGCTGAAATCAGAATAGGTCCTGCAGCTGTCTTAAGAGCACATCAAAATTGTTGCTGGATTAGTGTTGCTCATTTAGAGAAACAGTTTTAAAAGTTGGCTTCAGTTGAAGCAAGTAATTTAAGTTCTACATCCTCTTTAGTTGGTAATTATTTTGTAATAAGTGGTTTGTGAGTAAAACTAGAGTATTGTGCAATTTGAAACTGGAGGCTGAGAAACTTGGTGTGTGGATTTTTTTTTTCACAAAAAAAACCAAAAAAAAACAAGACATGGTACTGCATTAGTTAATACATAACCATCATGTTTTATGCTCAGTATAGACAACACCAACTAATGGTACTGCATTAGTTAATACATAACCATCATGTTTTATGCTCAGTATAGATAAGTTGATTTTATCTTCTGACTTGCAGGTTTTTATTTCCTCAAAACTACTGCATATCTATGTACAAAAACTTACCTCACAAACTGTGCTACAGGACATTTTTATTCTGAAGCCTTCTAGCTTGTTACCTCAACAGGCTATTTTCATATAGGTCAATATTTGGTTCTGGGAATTATGTCTGCTCTTTTCCCAGACTTGTGAAATAGCAGACTAAACTTTGAACCATGTAATTTTTTATGATATGTACTTTCAGGTACTCTCTCCTTAGAGAATTTGGTGACTGTTTAAGTAAGTTTAGAATATCTTTTCTTATAGATGATTTTACTTAATGGTGTCTTTTAATGTCTGAAGTTCTTTCCCAGAATTTATGTTGCCACTGAGGCCCAGTTAGTTGAGTATCATTGTCTTCATTTGAAAAAACATGAAGAATTTTTTTTTCTTACTGTGTTTTAGGATTTATCTTTATTGGAGTAACTTGAGGCAACTAATGCTAATAACTTGAATTTAAAATCTCTCTGCTTCCTGTTTTAAAAATAGGAATTTCCTAAATAAACTTTTTTATGAAAAAGTACACTTAATTAGCCCATAATACTCAGGGTAGTCTGAATCTGCTGATTTTTATTACTCTTACTACTGGGCAGGCCAGAAAAGTTCCAGATGCATGCTGATGGATGCCAACTTTCTTGCTGCCACTCTTGAGTTTTTGCTGTCCTTGATTTAGCTGTTCGTGCAGCTGCCTTGCTGCATGCTCAGCCTCTGTGGCTCTGCACGAAGATGTTCTGTCTTCTGCTGGTGGTGCCAGGAAGCTGCATCCAAACAGGGAGCATTCTGGCCAAGTGGTTCCCAAACTCATGTTATTTTTTTTTAGTGTTGCAAGACTAAGTGATGATCCAGGTCTCCTTTGGAATTCTGATAAGGCAAATCTGTCATAGCCACATCATGGTTATGTGCAGGCTTTGAGCAATAATACTAAGAAAAAAAAAATAATTTCTAAGTGTGTATTACAACTACAAAGATACTTTCTGAAAAGTTCAAATTATTTTTCACAAAGCTCTGTTGACTTGCTCTGCTGATGAAGAGAAAACCAGCAAATTTCTCAGCTCTGTTTGCTGTACCTGTTTTCCTTTGTAGCAACCCATAATGAAATTTCCAGAATTCTAATATTAACAGAACAAAAATCTGACCTGAAAAAAAATATTGTTGTGCAGTTACTGTTTGAGAAACCCTTTGAAGTTGTTTGGGTTTTTTTCTTAGTGTTTACATTAGATCTAAGTGTATGAGAAACAAGAGTATCCTATTCCCCCTGGCTGATGAGTATCCCTGGAGAGGATAAAAGATGCAATTTTACATATTTTCACAAATGATTTGATTTAGGATTATGAAAAATGGACCTAATTGCTGAACTGCATGTTCTAAGACAGTCCTCCATTAAAAATAGATTTCTTTGAGATCAGTATTTGATAATATTGAGAAATGGAGAGGAGGATATAATATTCAGAGGAGATAATAGTATTACCTTTGTCTGTTCCCTTTCTCCAGAAGTGTGTGGCATTGAATGGTGATAGAGAAGCCTTGAGGAGCCTTCATGAACACACTTCACTATCACTGTAACTGGCTTATTTGGGTTTACATTTATCAGTGTAATTGGCTTTTTTAATCAAAAGATTACAAGCTCTTCCATTGCACAGATATTTAAAATTAACCATTGGAAAATAGAAGCATGTTTTCAGAAGCTAACTGGCAATTAGCTAATTGCTAATAAAGGTCTTGTTATTGAATGTCTAGCAGTGCTGTTTGGGTCCATTTCTCTTGCTTCTGTGTTTCTAATTGAAACTGGGCAAAATCAGGAAACTCTCTTTAGGTCATCATTGAAAAGGAAGACTTCCCACCCCCACCCATCCTTGGAATGTACAAATCCTTTATTCCAGTACTGCAAGCTTCCAAGTGCTTGCCATCCATAGAACAGGGTGGACTGTGATGCAAACAGCCCCTGCCTGTGTGCTGCAGAAGACCAGCAGCTGGCCACTGTCCTGGGAACTTCACTGGAGAACTCTAAAACACACAAAATCCATCTTCCATCCATAGACCAAACACTTCCTGGTAGTTGTAAAGCAAGTAATATTCAAAGCAATAGAAGAACAGCTTTTTGGCTTTTATAGTAACTGATCCCCAGGATTCCTATGTTTAATTTGTTTGGGGAGAAGCAGAACTTCTGCAAAGGGAGTAAAGCTTCATGGACCAGGAATAGCAGCTGTTAAATTATTTCTGCTGCTTTTTACCTCTTTGCTTGTGGAGTTCTCTTTTGGATGGCAGCCAGTGTATGCTACTTGGAAGGTGAGATAACAGGTTTTATTAAATGAGTCAGTTCCAAGTGTTAAAAACTTGAGTACATTAGGAAGTAAACCAGATATGGGTTCTTCTTCTGGCTGTTCTCAAATCTGGCTTCTGTGCTTAGAAACTTTAGTCTCATAAAGGTATTCAAATTAGTATACTAGCAACAGAAGCTAGCTCATAGCAAAGAGAATAACTCTAGAGGTACATACTATTTAAAAGAAATGTGCCTCCAGTAGCATGTTGAGATTCAAAATTTTGGAATCGTATATTTCAGCAATTGAATGTTGGCTAGGCACTATTCAGATTTGAATTTGGATATTAAGGTCTTTATGAAGTTACAGCAGTGGGTTTTGCTTTAATTTAATTTTTTTTAATTCGTCTAGAAATTTTTACTCTGTACTTCAGCCTTCTGTTGTAGACTGACATCTAAGCTTATCATTTGATTTAAGATAAGCTATTGGCAGCTGGTATGCTTTTAAAAAACTTCACTTATGTTGTATATGGTATTTTTATCTGTAAACAGCTGTTGGATAGCAGACAAAATAATAAAATATAAAATACCGAAGGCTAATTTCCCCAGGAGTCCTGGTACAAAGTATTTGCTGTCTATTACATGAAAATGTGATGTATGAGCACCGTGGTGCATCAGCTACTCCATTAACCAAGATGCTGTTGTCAGCCTACAGTGCTGGAGTGTGCAGCACAAAGAGTTGGAAGGGAAAAGGGTTGAGAGGGATGTAAAATCTTGTGCTGCTTCTGGAGTCAGCATTGTGGGCTTTCATTGTTTGAAACACCATTTTCAGTGCTTGTAATTAATAATGATTTGAAAATAAGCATTAAAATGTGGTGCATACTTATGCATCTCTGTGGTGACAAAAGCATAAATGTGAATTTCAGTCTCTTCAAGGAGAGCATTGCAGAACTTTGTTCAAAGGGTAAAAACCTCTCAGCTGAGAGGTTCAGTCATCACTGGCTTCCAGTGTGACCAGTTTGTTCTGCCACACCGTGTGTCCCACAGCCCCTCTGTGGTGGTCATCCACATTGTCCTTTGGGTCTGCCAGTGCACGTGCTTGTCCTTGTCCACAAGACAGGCTGGATTACAGAGCTGAGCATGGAAGGGGCATGAGGAGCTTGCTGTAAAAGAGAGACTGCTGGGCAGAAGGAGGGAACATCAGTGAAGGAAACTGGGTTTGGTTTGGGGATGGAGGCTGGAGCAGAGGAACACAGAGGCAGATTAAGGGAAAAGATTCTTTCTTTGTAAATGTAATCTGGGATATAGAGAAAGAAATTAGGTCAAGGTGGTGTGCACATTCCTTTGCTTCTTCTATTGGAAGGGAAGGGAACATGGAGAATACTTACCTGGGCATAGGGAGAGACACAAAGCTCCACCATCCCTTCTTTCTGGTTCCTGAGACAGTCAAACCCAAGCTGCTCTAGGGCTGAGAGCTGCTTCCTTTGCATACTTTGTCTGGTGTTGATATCAGTGGCAAAAAAAGACAACAAAAAGGACAATGTCAATGCTGGGTACAAAAGAGAACCTTTTGTGTCACCAGCATGGCTTGTCTGCTCTGTGGCCTGCCGCCAGCTGCTTTCTGGGTGGGAAGCCTGGGGGGAATTTCAGCTGCTGAGGACACTGGCTTGGAGAAGGGGCAGGTCAGGGCAGCCAGGTGAAAGGAAATGCATTGTGTTAGGGCAGGGGCATGCATCACATTTGGGAATATGCAGCTCTTTGTAACTTTCTCTATGGTCTGGGTGGCCACTTAACTGGAATGTAATGGCAGTTCATGGTATAGCTTTTAATTCTTCTGGATAATACATCTTTTCCTTGCTGGTGAGAGGAGAGCAGAGATGGGATGAACATAAGGCATTTTTGTTGGAGGATTTTTCCTGTCATCATTTCTTACTCTCAGGTTAGCATAGATATAGAATTAGCAACATAGAGCTTAGTAGGGTCAAAACCACAGATGAGCCTCAGTCCTTTCCTATGTGGTGTAAAATTGGCTGGTTGGTTTAACTTCCTTCTTTGATGGTCCTTAAGTTAAAGGAGTGTGTTCTGAAAGGGACAGATTTTTTTCTACCCATTAGGGGTAAAATATCTCTCAACAGATAGTCCTGTTTCTGGAGTGACTTTTGTCTGAGCACTTTTGTCCTAAAGCGTGGTGGCCACATAGAAAACTTCTGCCTATGTCCTTGGAAGACTATGGGTGTAGTAAAATACCACTTATCAGATAGAAAGCATTAACTACTGGTCAGCAGTGAAAACAATTTAAAAGCATTCCAGCATTATCACACAGTTGTTTTGTTTAGATGCCACATGTCAGATTTTGCAGACTTTGTCAAGCAAGTTACTGTCATTTGTTCTGCCCGCAGAACAAATTGTGCTTTTCTTGTGGTGATTACTGGCCAGATGATTTCAGATTTTACTGTGGGCTAGCTCAGGGCTAGATTCTTACTGAAGGGCTTAAGAGAAGGCAATATTAGATTTCAACCATCCTTTTCCTTAGCAAATAGCTGAATTCCCTTTTTATTGGGAAGACCCAGCTCTGATTGAGAGATTGGCATAGGACCATGAAACCTGTTGTCTCTGAGAAGCAGGGGAAGCTAGAGTTCATTTGGGATTGTTTCTCATGTCTGACCTAAAATGGTAGAAGGGTGACTGTGATTGATAACAGTTTGTGGAAATTTCATACAGTTTTAGGAGAAACCCAGAAGCTTTGCCCTCACTTCTTTATTTGTAAGGAAAGCCAGTGTGTATGAAATAAAACCTTGACTTTACATATTACTTGTGTGACTTATTCTTCAGGTTACTATCGTACAGAAAGAGATAAGGGGACACAGTATGAGCTGTTTTATAAGAAGATGGATGGCATGGAGTACAGGCATGTCACCTTGTTCCGACCTTTTGGACCCCTCATGAAAGTGAAGAGTGAAACAGTCGATATTTCTAGATCGATCATTAACGTTATTGTTCCTCTTGCTGGAAGAACTGAGGCATTTGCACAATTCATGCAAAACTTTAGGTAGGTGCATGAGATTATATAGTGAGCTATGTTCCTGATTTTCAGTATTTTGTTATCTTTGCAAAATGAATTCCTGTTCTGGGTGAGTTGCAACAGAGCTAATGATTCCAACATTGTGTGCAACTGCCTTGGAATGTTTGTAATTGAACCTACTGTATGGAGAAAACATTCCTTCTAAAAGAGCTTAAGAGATTCTCGAATTACAGCAAAATGACCAAAAGTCAGGGTCATTGTAAACCTGGACACAGATGATCTTGAACATAATTTTTGTATTTGCATCAGTTGTAGAGTGCCTGTTTCTGAAATAAGGTATTGGAATGTGACACACAGTATTGGAACCTTCTGGTGTAAATGGGCAAGATGGGGAAAGAAGAGAGGAAAGCATCTCTTCATGTTTTCTTTGAAGCCTTTTGATGACTAACCAGAATACTTCAATCTGCTAATTCTTTTTAATGCAGTAGCTTTTAAGTACCTGAAGTTTTTTGTTGTGTTGCAAGTAATTACTAATACCAGCTTACCTTTGTGCTTATAGGGATGTGTGTATTCATCAGGATAAGCGTGTTCACCTCACAGTTGTATACTTTGGACAAGATGGTCTATCAGAAGTAAAAAGCATCCTAGAATCTGTAGCTAGGTAAGTATATCAATCCAATATCAGTCAGTAAAACTGGCATTTTAAACAGCTTTTAAAAAAGAATGAAGAAATATCCAAATAAAATTTATACTCTGTCACAGATTACTAGGAAATTTATTAATTTTTTACTGTACGCTATTTATGGTTGCCATTTTACAGCTTAGGTTGCAAAGGTTTCCTGAAGACTACTAAAAATCAAGTTATAGCCAGAAAAGACTTTGAGGTTTCTGACAGTCCAAAAAACAACAGGGGTGAGTTTTGCAGTGGATATTCAGTCATGCTAACAGATTGATTAGAGTTTAAAGTTCTTTGGAACAGGGATGTACATTTTAATAGTTGCCTCACTGGAGAACCAATTTTATTTAATGATAAGGAAGAGAAATGTAGTAGTCAAAGTAGGCCTGTACTTACTCTCAGCTGTAAAATAACTTTAAGCATGGTTCATCCTGGCTGTCTCAGCAGAAGCATTACATCAGTATGGATGTAAAATTCACAAAAGTGTCATTTGTGGTTTTTGTTCCAGAGAGATGGGACAGGTGTCAGCATCCTTGACCCTATGGCCAATGGGCTCCTTCACCACCTGAGCTCTTGCACTCGTCCCTGGGCTGGGAGCCTGTTCTCCTTGAGCTCTGGTGTGATCCCTGTCTCAGGATGCTGATCCCTGTCTCAGGATGCTGATCCCTGTCTCAGGATGCTGGCCAGGCTCTGTGGACTAGGCACAGGCTACTTTGTCACCAGCCTGGAGCATGTGATGGAGAGCTGGCCTGACATGTAAGGCCAGCATCTTGTAGGAAGGGAGGAGAGAATTTCTGCATTTTTTGCTGCAGTCTTCCTAGCACCTGCTGTGTGCTGTGCCCCTCCATTTTTTGAGGCCTCTGCTACCTGCCTGCTCCCTGTGAGATGTCCCTGGAGCACTGAGTCAGTGCTGCAGGCTCACTGGGCATTTACCTGGTTCTGTATCTTTTTAATGGTGCTGCTGTTGAACAACTTCACCCTGTTAACTTCAAGCATTGTCCTCTGAAGTGTCTCTGAAGTAGACACTTAACTTTGCTTTAAGATGTTCTCTGAGTGTGTTTGCAGTCTCCTTTGTCTGCTCCTTCCCTCTTCTGCTGTGAGCACAGGCACGTGTGCTAGTGGTGAACAGGGAGGAGAAGCAAAGGGCCTGGGTTATGGTGGCACTGTCACACAGGTGGCCTTTGCCCCATGAGTCTGGTGATGCCAGGACTGGCTTCCTGTTTGCCCTCTTCTCTGAGCTAGTGAAGACAGGTATTTCTATTGGTCAGGACTTCTTGGTTTGTGGGGACAAATTTTAGATGCCATTGTAATTCAAGAGATTGTTTTAATTCACGTCAGTTAACAAAAGGCCTTTTAATATGTCTGAATGATTAAACACCAAGTGAAGTTACAAAGACTGGTTTTTATCATTTTACAAGGCTTAAAATTGAAAAGGACAACTAAGTGTTGTCCAACAGATCTTTTTTTTTTATCATTCTGATAATATAACTGTTTTCAAATTTCTGGAATTAAATTCCTTTAAAATGCAAAAAAACTTATCAATGGTCCCTCTGCCCCTCCCCACAGATTTACTTTGGGTTTGGCTCTGTTTTTCTTGTAGAGAAACTGACTTCCACAATTACACGCTTGTCTCTCTGAATGAAGAATTTAACCGAGGCCGAGGACTTGACATGGGTGCCAGAGCCTGGGAAAAGGGCGAGGTCCTGATGTTCTTCTGTGATGTTGATGTTTATTTCACAGCCGAATTCCTCAACAGCTGCCGCTTAAATGCTGAGCCCGGTATGTCCCCTGTTGTTGCTGGAAGGGAGCCTTGTCACCCTGCTTTGACTTCAGCTAACTTGTGCTGAGCATACAGAAAACAAGGAAAACTCAACTAGAATGGTGGAGCTTATTCAGTACCACACACCCTGGAAAATGAATCACACTCTGCACAAAAGGCAATAACATATAGACTGAGAAATAACTTCTGCCTTAGTGTAGCTTGTTTTAAGAACACGTTGTCTTTTATGTACAACATACAATTTTCATGTTTTCTTCAGATTTAGTTGTCTGAAAGAAAGCTGGACAATTTAATTGGTTTAACAATTAGACTTCATGTAAATCGGTATAACAAAACTCAGTGTAACACTCTACAGTGGAAGATGATTTTTGTTATGTTGAAATCTCTAACAAGTTTGGCTTATCTCTTCTCACACATGTATGGCCAAGACATGTCTCAAAGAAATGGTTTTCATTAGAGCTACAATGTGCTCCTTATGGAGACTGTGCTAGTGTTCCACTGTTCCATCCCAAGCTCTGAAATATTGTGATTGTTTTCCTAAGTATTTATGATGCTTGCTTGTTCTACAAGCTTCTGCCAAGAAGAGTAAAGCTTTCTTGAGTTAACAAGCATGCTGCTGAAGACCTCCTGTCAAACTGTGTTTGGGTTCTTTTTTTAATGCTTACTCTTGTTTCAAATTTGTTGCAGTCAGAAACAATTTTCTCCAAATGTCAATTTGGAATCAATAGATGTTTTTTCTAACAAGCAGGCAAGAAAATTCTTCAGAAGCCAGATATTTGGGTTCTGTTTCTTGCTTTTTCTTTCATTTCTGTCTCTGTTCTTCATGAAACAAGTTGTATAAATAATTGGAAAAATTTTGTGGAGGAGTCTTTTGTGAGCTTTAACAAGAAAGAGAGTTCAAGAGACTGCTTGAAATTCATACTAGCAGTTTGTCACCTTTGTTTCAAATGAGATCTGAAAATGCTGCTCACTCCACAGAGTTCATGCCCAACTCAGGATAGTGAATATTCTTGTGGATTGTTGTCAATACTTTTGCAGCATTAATGATGCAAGACATCAGTGGACAAATATTTACGTGGCTTCTGTAAGAGAAAAAGAACTGGTGTTTTCAGCATAGTCAGGATTCTCATGGTGTTTTTTGCCCTTGCAGGATATCCTGGGAGTAAGTACCTGCTTTTACATGTTTGTGGACAGAGATAAATTCATAAAACTCAACAATGCAAGGTGTTACTTGGATTTGATTATTTTTAGTTTTACTGCATATCGTTATTGCAGGAATTTTTCAGTCACCTAGAATGATACTGAGATATCTAATATTTTATACAAGCATGTATAACTATATATAAATGTAAATCAAGTGTAATATGTGTAATATGCATACATATGTATTTTTTTAATCCTAAGGGCTCTGCCCCACTGGATGTTACAGGCTTCCTAGGTGGGAAATCTTAGCAGCTAGAATTTGTTTTTGCTTAATTCCATTAGATGCCTAATAGGTAATGTTTTACATAAAAAGAGTGTTTCTGGTTTCTTTTTGCCTGCAGAAAGCATGCCCACAGTGAATAACAATTGTCTTTTGACTTCCAGGGAAAAAAGTTTTCTATCCTGTGGTATTCAGCCTTTACAATCCTGCTATTGTCTATGCCAATCAAGATATACCACCTCCTGTGGAGCAGCAATTGGTAAGCAGCTTGATTTATTCTGGGTGGAATTAGGTGTGCTTTGTATTAAAACAAAATTAAGTGTAACTTAATAGTCTCTTTGGAATATTTTATGACCTTTGGCACTGCATATTTAAACAGTTTTCTCCATTGTGGGCAAAGCACTTGGAAAAAAACCTTCCGCCTTGTTTAAGAGAAGTAATTGCAATTAACCAAATGAACTTGGTAGTTCTGATCTGCTGCTTATTCTGGCTTGACAAGCCAGTATTTTAGGAGGATGGTGGCATTGCATGGCAGCAGCTTTCATCTTATGTTCCAGCAAACAAAGCAATGGTGAAAGGTAAAAACCTCTGAATGACATGTTCAGTCTGACTCTCTTTTGAGAGACTGCACAGATGAACTTTTTTTTCAGCTGAGACTTCTGGGATGAACAGGTTTAGAGGTGGAAAAGAAGAGAGCAGTATCTTCATACTGTGTTAAATAACTGTATTAAATAAAGAGCTGTATTAAAAGAACATAATAGCCCTCATTCCCTACATTGTTTGCAAGGATCCTGCTGAAAGCCAGAGGGAAGGTTTTGCATGTAGCCTTGGATAATCACAGCTGAGGGAGGAGTGAGCCCCTGCCTGACAGCTCTTCTGTTCACTCTTTTAAACTTAACAGTATTATGGTTGTTGACTTCAATCACAAAGCTTATTTTTCACATCATATCAGATCAAGAGACAAATGTGGCCTTAGAAAATGGGTTGGAAATGGAGTGTTGGGAAGAGATGATTAGGACTAATTTTAATTTAATGCTTGGTCTGGGCAGATACATAGAAAATAGAGGTGGTGCAGCAGAAACTGCTGTGGAAACTGCAGTGAGGTTGAGTGGAATTGGAAGGCAGAGGGTGAAGTGAGCAGCAGGTCACTGGGAAGCCCCACATGAGTGCATGACACAGAAATACCAGAAGTGTTATTATGCTCTATCCTGCACTGTAAAAATGATTGGAAAAGCTTAACTTTCTGCAAAACCAAGTACAATGTGCCTCCTTGGTTGTATTGTACATTTCAAAATTATACTGGTTTAAAATTGCAGGTACACAAGAAGGATTCTGGTTTCTGGAGGGATTTTGGCTTTGGGATGACTTGTCAATATCGGACAGACTTTCTGACTGTTGGTAAGATGAGACTAAAGAAAAAAAATTGTGTTTAAAACGTGATTCTCTGGTCTTACCTAATGACAGGAAAGTAATACATTTATTTTTTGTATTATTTCCCCAAGCCCAGCAGTCAGACTTGCTTGACAAGTTTGAACAATGAGATAAATCAGCTTTTCTGGATTTTGATGTCGCATCTGTTAAGTGTATTAAAAGACAGAGTAGTTTTAGTAGAAACATTTCATTCTAGAATTTTTTTGAATACTGGTGGTTTTTCTTTTTTTTTTTTTTTTGGTACTTTGTGTCTGTCTGAAGCAAATTAATCAGGTTTAAGAAACATGTCACTCAAGTAAGCCATTTACATAGACAAGAAGCAGTCAAATCCTTTCTTTTAAATAACCTAGAGAAGTTGAATACAGTTGTTGGAATCTTTAGCAATGTGCTTTGCCCCCCCTTGTGGCATGTTCTTAAAACTGAGAACAGCTTGGTGTGCTTAAATGTGGAAGATAGTGGTGAGCATCGTCTGCCAGAAGATGTAAATCTGCCAGAAGATGTAACTGCACAGCCCTGCGTGCTGTCTGGTGGCTTGAATGCAGGCTGATTGCTAAGAGCAGTCATATTGCCATCTGTATGGTAGTGCTAAATGGGGACTTCATCATTCTGGAGTTTTGAAATTGTACAAGAGCTCTTCACTGTGGTCCTGGAAAAACAAGAGAATTTAAAATGGTGAACCATGTTCCTTTCTTTAATCCAGCCTTTTGAATTGTGACCTGTGGAGTAATTGCTGGCATTGTTAGAGAGGATTTCTTATATGATGCATGACTGCTTCATTTTCCAGCTGCTAAAATCCATTATGCTTCCTAAAAATAATTCAAAAGCATAGCGAGTGAGGTTTGCCTACAGTTTTCTGCAGCTGTCACATGGGATGTCATGCATAATGCAATTTGGAGACACTGCTCTAAGAGACTTTCTGAAGTCAGCAGATCTGTGTCCTGGGCAGTTTCCACCACAAAGGATGTGGTATCCTTGAAGCTCCTGTCCCTCAAATTGGCATGCCATGGCATGGGAAGCTTGGTTAATTGCTACAGAATTTCTGGAATGTCGTGCCAGATCTGGTAACACGTTATGCATGAAGTGTTGCTCTTCTTGCCTGTGTGCCCAGATAACGATTTCTGACGCTGTTTTCCTAGGGGGTTTTGACTTGGAGGTGAAAGGCTGGGGCGGCGAGGATGTCCACCTGTACAGGAAGTACTTGCACGGGGAGCTGATGGTGGTCAGGACGCCGGTGCCGGGGCTGTTCCACCTGTGGCACGAGAAGCACTGTGCGGACGAGCTGACGCCGGAGCAGTACCGCATGTGCATCCAGTCCAAGGCCATGAACGAGGCATCGCACTCGCACCTGGGCATGCTGGTGTTCCGCGAGGAGATCGAGGCGCACCTGCGCAAGCAGGCCTACAGGACTAACAGCGAGGCCACGCGCTGAGGGCCGCCCCGACTGCAGATTCACACTGAACCAGCACCCTTCCACAGCCTTAATCAGCTTACTAATGCAGTGCCTCTCTTTTTCAGTGAAGAACAGTCTAGGGGGTTTTTGGTTCTCGTGTTTGTTTTCCCAGTAATCCTTTGGCTGATAGGCTCTCACGTATCGTGTGAGTTCCACAACCTCAGCTAAGCTGGACAGCACATGTAGATCAAGGAAAGTGTCTGCAGTATCAACTGGAAAAATCTGTGGAATGTACAATTCAACACTTTTCCATGTGGTACATTTCTGTTCTTATGTTTGCATTCTTTTGAGAATTAAATGAAATAATCTTTCGTGTCTTGAGTATTTTCAGTCTGTATGGCTCACTGCACTGTGACTTTAGAAGGATACTATACTCCATTGTAGAAACAAGGGAAAGGTGTGGAGAAATATCACCATGAAAGGTATATGGACATGCTGATTCCACAGCAAGGGCTTGCTGCCACACTTGCTGTATTAACAGACATTGACATGGTTGAATAGAGAATAATTTAGGGGGGTGAGAAGGAAAATCCTTTCAAGTGGAATTTTAGAGCATATAATGGAAGTTCACACTGCAAAGGAAATGCCACCCTTTTATTTCAGTGATGGATCAGACAAATTGGGAACATTCCAGCTGGGTGTTTCTGTGCCTGCTCTTTCCCTACAGTAGATGCCATATCCCTTCTATAAACTGAGCTGTGCTATTAAACTTGTTTGCGTAAATATTTTTTTGGCCACACTCCTTCTTATTCCAAGGCCCAGCCTATGTATCTCATCCTTTAAGTTGAGGAACCACATTTTCATTCCCATATGAATTTATTAGAGGCCTGTTTGCTATTATGCCAATGTTTTCTTGTGCATTCTTTCTCTTTTGGGCATTTTCCTGACATGTTTTTGTAAGATGTCATATAGTTGTTACAGTGACTGAAAAAGCAAGTGCTATTACAGTCCTTCTTTATACAATGCTCTTCATTACACTGATCATCCTAGCAGCCTTATTCTTCACTTTTTCAGTTTGACGATGTTTTAGGGTTTTGGTTCTTTTTCCTCTGGGTTTTTTTTTTGTTCTGTTTTGTTTGTTTTTTGTTGGGTTTTTTTCTTTGTTTTTTTGTTTTGTTTTGCTTATTGGGTTTTTGGAGCATGTTTAAGTGGAATTATGCTGTGCTCTCATTAGTGCCTTGTACAATGGCACTACTACTTTGGTACTTACCTTTTGGGTGTTTTGGGATGCATAAACAGTTCAAATGCAGGCAGGTCATTTTTCTCCATGTTGTCTTATATGATACCATATGGCATGCCTCGTTTTTTAATACATTTGTTTATAGAATGAATGCAGAAAATGCTAATTCAGTGGTTAAACCATTTGCATGGTTTCTGCTGAATTTAGATATTAGTTGAAAACCTTTCTCAAACCAGGTAACTAAGATCTGTATGGATTTATTTTGCTCAAGAATTCTGAAGATTTAAATGATCGATTTCTGACTAGCAGATATGCTGTGCAAATAGTTCTGGGCACTGATCCTTTTTTATATGTATATAAAATGCGCCTTTATGTAACTTATTGTGGAGAACAGTGTACTGTATTGTATTTAGAGTGAAGAGAATGCATTGCAGGACTTCTTGCAATTGATATTCTCAATATAATAAATGGAATTTCTGCATTTTAGAAATTGTTTTAAGCTGTTTCTTTGAAATATGCTTTTACAATAATATTATATAGAGCATAAAACACTGGGATTCAAATAATATTTGCAGTGAGAAGTTCAGCCAGCTCAGTTTTGCATCTCAGGTATCTACACAGACCAGATACCAGAGTTTATTCCTTGGACAACTTAAATTTACCCCAGATGTACCTTACTTGGGTATCCTGGTTGTTGCTAACAAAAATTGTAAGGTACTGGTGAGGACAAGATTGAATACACTGGTATTATGACTTTTGGTGAAGATACAAGTGGGGCACTATCCTGAGACTCCAGCCTTTAAAACTTGAGGTCAGCTGCTGCTGTCCTGGCTGCACAAGTATCCGAAAATGCCTCTCACTGACCCCAGCACTGCCTGCAGTGCACACAGAGGTACGGCCCAGGCCCAGCGTTGCTGCGCCTCAGCTCTCAGACGCTGCCTCAGGAGCATCCAGTTGTCCCAGTTCTCAGGTTGTGGAAACATGGCAGGGTGCTGATGTCCAGGTGTCTCAGGTTCTGCTGTTTTCCACTGCATGGTTGTGCTTATCAGCAGCAGTGAGGGAGATCAGTGTCACCCATCTGGGTGATGAAAACCAGCGCGTGGTGGCAATGCTGGAAGGCAGGGGGGGAGCTCTGGAGATGAATGTAGTCACCAGGAACTACTTGGGAAACTTTTCCATTCATTATTCCAAAAGGTGGAAGCAAATACAGGAACCACTTGGGAAACTTTTTTCCATTCATTATTCCAAAAGGTGGAAGCAAATGCATTGAAGTTGAAGTCAGAACACTGGGAAATATTTAAGATGTGTGTTGGGCAATATACACAAGTATTCCAAATGGCTCATGAGCTGAGGATTTCTGAGCTTACAGGAGCCCTTGCAGGGCCAGGTTTCCCCTGTCTTAGTTGAGGTCCTTGCAGTGCCCACCTGTGTGAGAGGTTGCTGTGGCACACAGCAGCAGCAGCTCTGTGCACCCAGAGTTTGAATGCACACCATTGCTTTTGCTCTGTAGTGGAGCCAGAGCAGAAACAGTGGGATATGCCTTTATTGAAAACAAAGTGATTTCAGTTACCTGAGCGTGTTCAGCCTCTGGCTGCTTTGGGCACAGCCACACTGTGCTACAAGCACGTGTTTGTGAGCAGCTGTGACCCAGGGTGGGGGTGCTCTTTTCCATTAACTGGTAACTCTTCCTTGGATGTGTTTCCTAACTTCATCCAAGAAAAGGAGCAAGTTAGTTTTGCTTCAAATACAAAAATCTCTTGCTTGGGAGCAGGACCTGCTCTTGGCTTTCCCAAGGTGTGCTCTGCCTGCAGAGGAAGAATAAACCCTGCACTGGGGGGGTTTATTGAGCTTGGGGTGCTGCTGGGGCACTGCAAAGAAGAGTGACAGTATCAGGCTTGGGAGTGACAATCTGTGTGCCCAGGGTCAGTGCTTGGGTTACATGGCCAAGTGCTGGGCCTCGTCCTCCTGTTTTGACAGATGCTGTTTACATAACACACTTTTTTTGAGCTGTGGTCCAAGTGTTTTCCTGGAGGAGTCACTGTGTTTTAGTGCTAGAGTAGTAAATATAGTAACACTTATTTAAATAGGAACATGCTCCACTGAATCATGAAGTAATTTTTGATTCTGTTGCGTGCTATTCACATAAATTGTAACCTTTTCCAAGGAATTTGCAAGCTGCAGTTTTTCCCTAGAGAGAAATGTTCTTCATTAAAGGAAGTCAAGATGAGATTAGCTCAGGGTGCACTTTTACTTGAGACCCTTGCAGGAACAAATGTGGGTTGTGCTTTTGAAATTGTTTAAAAATATGTCATTCAATAAGACTAGTAGATACTGGTTTAGAGAAGCAGCAAATACAGACGGAAAACTGGGAAAAACTTAGGGAAATAGTTCTAGGTCTCCTGCATCCAGAAGAAAAGACTGGGTTTTTTCAATTTCATAAAAGCCTTTGGACTCTGAGATGCACACACCTATGAAAATCAAAACTTATTTGTAAAGTGTGTTCAAGAAGAGAATGGCATCAGGAGGGAAAGGTGAGCCCTAACCAGTTGTATCTGAATGCAGACATTTAAACAGTTTTAGTTCATGCCAAAATATAAACTAGAACAAAATTTTTGCCTTGTCAGACCCATGAATGAAAAGGATAAAGCTTCAAATAACCTTTAAAATGGTGTTTCAGCATAAATTAGTAACTTATTGATGCATCAGTGTAATGATAAAAGATTTCTGCGTATCAAAGGTGAGTGTAGCTTTCATTTGCCTGGGGTATTTTGGTGACTGTGACTCCCAAATACATCTTAAGGAGATAAATCATTAAATCTTACCCAGCTGTGAAGGAAAATGGGTTTAATGAGCTTAAGCAGTGTTCAGTTCATGCCCCAACCATGCTCACCTGTTCCTCGTTAGGCCTGATTGCAAACCAAAGGACTGCACCTGTTCTGACTGCGAAAGCCTCACAGCAAAGGAGACTTTGACAGAATAATTCTTTTACATTTCTGTGGTTGCAGTGGCTCTGCAGAACCCTGCCTTTATGGTATAGCACGTACTGTAACATAATTTTTCTGAAGCCTGGCACTGAGCAGTGCATTTGGGCTGTGTAGAGACACACCTGGGAGCCACGCAAGCACCCACAGAGCCCCTCTGGCTTCCCAGGGCCCAGGCTCCAGCTGGTGGCAATTTCAGCATCATCTCCCCTGGGGGGCTGGTAGCAGCAGGGCCAGCCCTGCTTTGGGCAGTGGTGCCCCGAGCCAGCAGCAGGGACCTGCTGGGCCCCAGGGCTGCCCCAGGTGCTGGCAATAACCACGGCAGCTTCATTAGCCCTGGGCAAGGACTGCCTCCCCTCCCTTGGGACCTGAAGCTGCCAGGGAAAGGTTCTTCTCCTTCTTTTCCAAGAAATGTGTCTCTCCTGGGTTTGACTAAGGTGAGTGTTTTATTATTATTTTTGTGATTGCACTAGAAAGGAAACAGCTTCTACTTTTTTTTTTTTCTTTTTTTTTTTTTTTTTTTTTTTTTTTTTTTTTTGTTGGGAGACCTTGTTTGCTGCTGTAGAGGTTGGCCTAAAGAGTAGGGGTTGTAGTTGGGATCTTCCTGGAAGTGCTGTGCAGCAAAAGTACTTCTGACTTGCAGGTACAATGTTAAATAAATCCATTTATATTTAAGTCTAAGTGTTTGCATAAGGTTTTATTAAAACACAGCTTTGTTTTGTTGAGCTTAGTCTCTTCCAGTGTAAGGTAAAGAAGTTCCTCTGAACTTGAAGTTTGTGGTCATTTAACTGGTTTATTTGAGCTGCTCTAAATGTGTTTGTTACGTGTTGAGTTTTTCTGGAGCATTTTCAGTTCTTACAGCTTCAAGGTTGCCTTGTAGCTACCAGGCTTGTTTGTAGCATATCGCTGAAGTGTTTTGACCTATGTTCTCTCAGCTTTCTCTATAAATGGTGTAAAAGCTCTTTGCTGGTGCAGATTAATTTAGCAAAGGGCTTTAGAATTTTCTTTCTTAGGTAGAATACTTTGCACTTGACTTGCAGGTGAAAGAAGACATTAACTCATTCCTCATTTGTTTGTGGGGGTTGTTTTTTGGGGGGTTTCTTTGTCTTTGCTTTGCTATTTGCATGTCCAAGGTGTCTTTGCCAGCACCTGTGAGTTCTCAGATTTGAGTAGAAGTGCTGCTTTTAAAAAAGGCTGGATCTGTGGAGAGAAGTGGAATTTAAGGCAGAGGCTGCGGGACAGCCTTCATGGATGTGCTGTCTGACCTGGCTCCTGCTGGAGGCACTGGCAAATGTGCCCAGGCAGCAAATTCACAGCTGTGAGACAGCCAGGGAGCTCCTCCTGTGAGGAAAAGGGGGAAAATGAGATTCTCCCAGTGTGATGGATGTGGAGGAGACAGGAGGTGAAGCTGAGCAGAGCTGTGGAAACACGAGCTAGCAGGCACAGCATGGCTTTGGTCCTGTGAGAGCCTCAGCTCTCTGCACGTTTCCTGCAGCCTTCTGCAAGCTCAAGTGGCTTCTTGCTGACTACTATACAGGGGAGAATGATTGTGTTAAAAGGGATAGTCTGAAGCAAAAACAAAATCCTTTGAGATTACTTGGTGCTCAGGAAGGCTTTGGAGAGCAGCTCTGAGACGGCTTTGGCTACTCTCAGGTTGTGACTCGCAGCTTTTCCTGGGGAGCAGCCTGGATGGTGTTCTGGCCTGTAAATGCATCCATGGAACAGATGTTGGGGGGGGTTGTGTTTGTGTGCTCTTAAAAACCTTGTCAAAGTGATTTTCTTAACTGCTGGATTATTGTGAAATTTTCTTTTTGAATACTTGGAAACTCAAAAATTCTAAGTCGTAAAGTGAAGTAAGCAGCATATAGAAAAACAAAATGGATTTGTTTGCATCTGTCAAATTATTTATTGCTTGCTTGGGTTTCATGTTTTTGGAATGTGTTAGAAGTGGTTTGATTTTTTTCCAAACTGAGATCAGGTCATCAACAGTGAGCTCTTATGTCCCCATACAAGAATAATTCATTCTTTCATTAAATTCTGGTATTGCCATCAACATCTGAAACTTCAGTCAACTCCATCGCTTAAAACTGTGTTTGCTGAGTCCCCCAGTGCTCTGTTGCTGTTACAGAAGATATGTTGTACTTTGTTCTTTGACTTAATAGATATTTGTGGAGGTGGAGTGTTGTTAGCAGTATCTTCTTTGAGTTGAATGTAAATAATGTTGTGTAAATATTTCAAAGGAAACTTACAGTGTTGACACTGATGGATAGCAGGATGCTATATTTAATATGAATCAGAATCAGAAGAGGCTGTGGTGTGCTCATGTGACAGGGATTAAAAAGATGTTAAGTAGTTTTCTCTGTAATGAGATTCTGTTGGAACTCATTTGACTTCTGCCCCCAAACAGAATTACATTACTTTTAAGGTTGCTGCTTAATCCAAAGCAGCTAGATAAGATTAGACATATTGGAAGCAAATTTCCACTAAATTTTAAGTTTCTT